CTACAGTTGGCTCCGGGCATTCAAAATGTGGCCCGGGAATGGAGTTCTGGGACTCGAAGAGCACGAAGTGGCCTACAGTTGGCTCCGGGCATTCAAAATGTGGCCCGGGAATGGAGTTCTGGGGACTCGAAGACCACGAAGTGGCCTACAGTTGGCTCCGGGCATTCAATGGAGTTCCCGTGGCCTACAGTTGGCTCCGGGCATTGTGGCCCGGGAATGGAGTTCTCGAAGTGGCGTTGATTCTGTGGCAATGGAGTTCTGGGACGAAGAGCACGAAGTGTGTGACTGTTGCATCCGGTTATTCAGAATGTGGCCTGGGAATGGGGTTCTGAGAGGTCGACGAGCACGAAGTGTGTGACTGTTGGTGAAAAACGAGCCCGGCACAGGCCCGGCCGGCAACTCCCAACGCCTGCCCGGACCCCCCTGTGGAGTGATCTGTGAGCTCTTTTGAGTCAACTAGAAACCTATCAGTCTTCGCTGTTAGGTAAAATCACCTGCACCACGCAGAAAACACCGCTCGGGTCCCGCCGCATATCTGGCGATACGTAGCTCGGACCCCCTAGCCTGCTCCACATAGAAAGTAAGCCTGGCTCTCCTCTGGTCCCAGCGACGGCACGGCAGAGCCCCAGGCAGTCCCGAGAGAGTTCCAAGAATGGCCGAAAGCAGCCCCCAGGAAAGGCCCGCAAGGGCACCGAACTGTTATCATACAGCGAGCCCTCGATATGGTATCGTCGGAGGCCTTCTCAAGGGACACTGTTGGGGCCCAGTTGCAACCCTCCTCTGGCCCCGAGGGCGGCTCGGGGGGACTTCAGACAGCCCCGAGAAAGCTCCAGGTTGCCCAAAACGATTCCCCACGAGGGCCCAAAAGGGCCCCCAACGACGTCATACCAAGAGCCCTTGGCCTTGGTCTGATGAGGTCTGGGGTCCTCTTGGGAGCCCTCGTAGGGGGCCTCTTGGAACCCCCTTGGGGAGTTCTGGGGAGCCTCCTCGCGCCCCGAACGCGGCCTGGCAGGGCCTCCCCGGGACAGCTCCAAGAAGGGTTCCAAAGCGCCCCCAGAGGGCCCCATCGACAGTGGCATCCAGAGGGCCCTCTTGGATGGCACTGTCGGCGGGGGCCGCCATGGGAGCCGTCTCGGTGCCCTTTTGGGCCTTCCTGACGTTTTCCCCTGGCTCCGCTTGCGCAAGTTGCGCTGGTTGCGCTGGGGCACGCCTGAGGCGCGCGCCATCCCGACCATCAACGCGCGTCGCCCGGAAAAATTGAAAACAAAACCTATGAGACGGCGGCCGAACGAGTCCTTTTTGCCCCCGGCTGCCGCCGCCGAGTCGTTCGGCCCCCGCTGCCTTTCCTGCGGGCGCGAGGTTTGCCGAGCCCCCGTGGGCGACGCTTCGAACGAAAACGGTTCCGTGCCCTCGGGGGTCTCGTGAGAGAAAGGGCCCGGGAACGGAGGAGGAGGAGGAGGAGATGATGATGATGATGATGATGATGAGGAGGAGGAGGAGGAGGAGGAGGAGGAGGAGGAGGAGGAGAGGAGGAGGAGGGGGAGGAGGAGGGGGGAGGAGGAGGAGGAGGAGGAGGAGGAGGAGGAGGAGGAGGAGGAGGAGGAGAGGAGGAGGCGGAGGAGGCGGAGGAGGGAGAGGAGGGGAGGAGGGGGAGGAGGGGGAGGAGGAGGAGGAGGGAGGAGGAGGAGGAGGAGGAGGAGGAGGAGGGAGGAGGAGGAGGAGGAGGGGGAGGAGGAAAGTAGGAGAAAGAGGAGAAAGAGGAGGAGGAGGAGGAGGAGGAGGAGGAGGAGGGGGAGAAAGAGGAGAAAGAGGAGATAGGAAAGAGGAGAAAGAGGAGGAGGAGGAGGGAGGAGGAGGAGGAGGAGGAGGAGGAGGAGGAGGAGGAGGAGGAGGAGGAGGAGGAGGAGGGGGAGGAGGAGGAGGAGGAGGAGGAGGAGGAGGAGTAGGAGGAGGAGGAGGGGGGGAGGAGGAGGAGGAGGAGGACATGCTCGCGCCTCGGAAGCTCGGGGAGGGGAAGGCGAACGACAACGCCGACCAGAAGGACGAAGACGAAGACGACGACAAGGACGAGGACGACGGACGACGGCCGACAACGACGACGACGACGACGCACTGCGGATGCCCAATGGTGGGAGGGTGCTGCGTAGGCCCGCTGTGCTCGACGACGACGACGGCAGAAAAATTGCCAGGGGGGGGACGATGAAAGATCGGTTCTGGCGGCTGGATGTTGTTTCCCTGTCCAGCTCATCGATTTTGGGGCCCCGGGGGGGGGGGGGGCATTTTTTGTTACAGCCGGGGCGTTGACATAAGGAACCCTAAATAAGGAACGGGGACCCCTTTCTCCCATCAGTTGAACTTCGCTTTCCCATGGAAAACCTCCGGAAAACGGAAGGCAAGCTGCAGCCCAATCAAGGAACACCGAGCCCCTCCCCAACGAAAAGGGTTCCTCCTTCAGGGCCCCGACTGTGCCGCTCGCTCCCAGGAGTTCTGGGGCCACCAGCAGCCCCGGCCCTTCCCCCAGGGGCCGGCTGTGCCTCCCGAGCCGCTCTGCGGACGGCCCTGGGGCCCAGCGAGGGCCTCCACCGGGGCGCCGGCGCGCGGACTCCCCCCGCCCCGACGTCTCGTCTCGCGACGACGCGAGAGCACGCCTGGGCCCTGGGGTATCGGTCTCTTCGGATCGGGGTCGATTTCCACCGCCGCTGCCACTGTCAGGAGAGGGAGGAGGAGGCGGAGGAGGCGGAGGAGGCGGAGGAGGAGGCGGAGGAGGCGGAGGAGGCGGAGGAGGAGGAGGAGGAGGAGGAGGAGATGAGGAGGAGGAGGAGGAGGGAGGAGGAGGAGGAAGAGGGGGAGGAGGAGGGGGAGGAGGAGGAGGAGATGGAGGAGGAGGAGGAGGAGGAGGACCTCCCCATCCTCCCTCCTCCCCTGGTCTACCGATGGCAGCGGTGGTGGAGCATGGGCCCATCCTCCTCTCCTCCCCCGAGCGCCGGCCCCAGCCGCGCCGCGGGGCCCAGCAGCGCCGCGGCCAACAGCGCCGCGAGGCGCTGGCGCCCACGGGCCGCGCGCGCCCCCGCGGGCGGGGGCATGGCGCGCTGCCCGCGCCTCCCCGGGGGATCGCTGGGCTCCCGCCTCCTCGAGCCCGCTCTTGTCGTGTTGTCGGGGCGCTGCCCGCGCCTCGCTGGGGGCTCCCTGGGTCCCTGCTTCCTCGCGCCCGCTCCCGGGCGCCGGAAAGAGTACACGGAAAGGGTGCACCTGCTCGCGCCGTGAAGAAGTTCGGGCGGGCGCTGTCTGGCCATTTTCAGCCTCAGGGGGCCGTCACTGGGCCTCGGGACCGTCCATGGGTCCCGAGAAAGGGGCCCCGACCTCCAGGGACCCCCTTTATGGACAGAAAACAAGGCATCGCATGTCTGGGAGCGGGCGCGGAAAACGTGGGCACGATGTCCAACAATCCATGTTGCCCCGAACCGACAGCGGCCGCGGTTGGGCAGGCGGCCTTCTGCCTCAGATGGCCACCGACCGCGGTCTCGCCGGCAGCGAGCCCTGTTCGTAATGAACAGAAGCTGCTAATGGACTTTGTACCCATTGTTTCCGCAACCGTTTCGATCGTCCCGGTCGCGGGCATGTCGCTGCCCGCGCCTCGCCGGGCGAAGGCTGGGCTCTTGCTTCCTCGAACCAGCTTCCCTCTGTGCCGTTACGATTCGCATTATCCCAAGCCTCCCGAGTCATGAAAAAATCGCAACGAGCGTTTCTGCTCATCAGAGTGAGGGGGCCGAACGGTCACTCACTGTCCCTGGGCGCGTGGCTGAAGCAAGGTTCTGCGGTGCGGATTGTTGTTGTTGCTGCTGCTGTTGTTGTTACCGTTGTCTGTGAAGAACCCTGGCCCGCGACCCACCCGCGACCCGCCCGCGACCAACCCCGCGACCCACCCGCGACCCGCCCGCGACCCACCCGCGACCCATCCCGCGCCGCGACCCATCCCGCGACCCACCCACCTTGCTTTAACGAAAAAATCGGCGCCTACGGCGGGCCCACTGCGAAATCTGGTCAGAGTCAGACGCCCGCGGCTGGCCTCTGCAGAGACCCGCAGCCTGCCGACGCCCTCGCCGCCCACTCGTTCTCATCCGCAAATGCGGGGCTGCGTATGTTCAGCATCTGGGGGCCCTTAGCGGGCCTCGGGACCGTCGAACAACAGCTCAGGATTCGGCGGCGAGCGAGGGGGGGAAGTGCGAAAGAGAAGGCCTTCTCAGAAGGCGGCGGGACTTCTCAGAAGCTCTCGCGCCTTCTGAAGGGAAGGCTTCGAAAACTTCTCGGGAGGCCGGGGGGCTTCCGAACCCTGTGAGAAGGCCTTCCCCTTCTCACTTCCCGCCCTCGCTCGCCGCCAGAGGTGCGAGGAATGGACGTGGGAAGGTAGGGTGTGTTGCAGCAGAATTGATGCACCATGGGCCGACTCTGGTCCTCTTCCTCATCCGCCTCCTCCTCCTCCTCCACTTTGTCCTCCTCCTCTCTTCTCTCCTTCTCCTACTTCAGCTTCGCTCTCCTCTCTCATCTATCATGTTATCCTCTCCCCTCTCTCCCGATCTCCCCCAAATATTGTCATCTCCAGTGCCACACCTGCGCCAACACTCTTCGCCCTAATTCGTCTCCTACTCCCCCCGCCCCTGCCGACGCCGCTGCCGCCGTCACCGCACCCGACGACAACGACGACGACGACGCCCCAGACGACGACGGCGACAGGTGACGACAATGACAACGACAACGACGATGACGACGACGACGTCATCTACGACAACGCACGACGACCAACGACGACGATGACGACGACAACAACGACGCCCCCGACGACAACGACGACTACGACAAGGACGACGCCACCGACAACAACGACGACGCCCCCGACGACGCCCCCGACGACGCCCCCGACGACGACGACGACGACGACGACGACGACGACGACAAACACCACCGCGGGCGCGCCGCGCAGCGGGCGCGCCGCCCGACGGCGCCTCCGACAGCCGCCCGCCCAGCTCCAGCACCGCGAAGAACTCGCCGTCCGGCTGCGGGACGCCGGCGCTCCACTCGAGCCTCTCGGGGGGGCGGGCCCCGCGCGCTCCCGACGAGGAGGGCGAAGAGGAGAAGAAGAACGAAGAGGAGGAGGAGCAGGAGCAGGAGGAGGAGGAGGAGGAGGAGGAGGAGGAGGAGGAGGACGAGGGGGAGGACGAGAACGAGGACGACGAGGACGAGCACGACGAGGGCGAGGGCGACGAGGGCAAGGAGGAGACGGACCAGGACGAGGACAAGGAGGGTGAGAGCGAGGACGAGGACGAGGTGGGCGGGGCGCTGGCGGAGGATGAGGAGAAGGGGGAAGAGGAAGATGACGACGAGAAGGAGGACGAGGAGGAGGAGGACGTCATCGCACCTGCTTCCGCCCTCCTCATCCACCGCCTCCTCGTCATCTTCCTCCTCCTCCTCCGCCTCCTCCTCCTCCTCCTCCTCCTCATCATCATCATCATCATCATCATCATCATCATCACCATCACAACCACCAAACATAATAATCATCAGCAACAGCAGCATCATCAGCAACATAATATTCCTCCGCATCCTCATCCTCATCATCATCAACCTCAACCTCCGCATCATCATCAGCAGCAGCATCATCAGCATTACATCATCAACAGCAGCATCATTAACATCACCACTGTCAGCATCACCACCATCATCATCAGCAGCATCATCATTATCACCAATAACCAGCATCATCACCATCATCATAATCAGCATCAAAATCACAATCAGTATCACCATCATTATCATCACTACCATCATCATCCTCATATTCATTTCTCATCATCAAACTCATCATCATCAACAACAACATCACAATAAGCAGCACCCTCATCATAATCATCACCATCATCATCACCATCACCACCATCAGTCACCAGTCACCAGTCACCAATCATCAACCATCAATCAACCAATCGGTCGATCGATAAAGCATCATCATCATCATCATCATCATCACCACCATCATCATCGTCATCATCATCATCATCGCCGTCGTCGTCGTAAGCGTCGTCGTCGTCATCATGATCACTTGCATCACCACCACCATCATCATCGTCGTCGTCGCCGTCGTCGTCATCATCGTCATCACCATCACCACCAGCATCATCATCAGCATCAGCATCACCAGCATCATCATCAAGCCCCCTCGCCCCCCTGCTTCCTCGTCGTCCCCCTCCCCCTGGCGCGAGACGGCCCCACACTGGGCCTCGGCACAGAAGCGCGCCTTTCGGCGGGCAGATCAGCGGGAGCCCTCGGCACGTGCACAGGACACAAAGTCCGGGTTCTGGTGACATAGACCAGGCCTGCCACAGTAATGCTCCTCATTCCACCTCCTCATCCTCATTCCTCCTCCTACTCCTCCTTCGCCTCCTCCTCCTCATTCCTCCCCCAACTCCTCCTCCTCCTCCTCCTCCTCCTCCTCCTCCTCCTCACCACCACCACCACCACCACCACCACCACCACCACCACCACCACCACCACCACCACCACCACCACCACCACCACCACCATCATCATCATCATCATCATCATCATCATCCATCACATCATCATCATCATCATCATCATCATCATCATCATCATCATCATCTCATCATCTCATCATCATCAGCAGCATCATCATCTTTCCTACTCCTCCTCCTCCTCCTCCTCCTCCTCCTCCAACTCCACCTCTTCCTCATCCTCCTTCCCCCTCCGCCTCCTCCTCCTCTTCCTCTTTTCGTTCCTCCTCCTCCTCCTCCTCCTCCACCTCCTCCCAGTACCATTCAGGCTCGAGTCGCTGCCGCAGGGCGCTCGTGCTCCCGCCCTCGCGCGATGCCGGTTGCCGTGGCGACGGACGCCCGCCGCGCGGGCGTCGCAGGAGGCCGTGCGCGGCGCGCTCCCGGCGACGCACGCTGCGGCTGGGCTCACGGGCGGGCCCCCGCGAGGCGCAGCGCCTCGCGCGCGCCGCCGAGGGCCTGCCGCGCGCCGCCGTGGCGGCCCTGGCTGTGGAGGTGCCCGCCGCTGCCCCTCGGCGGCGGCGGCGTCCTCGCGGGGGCGGCGCGGTGGGAGCCGGCGAGCGCGCGGAGGGAGCCACCTCGGACGTGCACGTGGTCGACGTCGGGGCGGGTGCGAGCGCGGCGGCGGCGCCCGCCGCGTCTCCCGGCTCGGGGCACGAGCGCGGTGGCGGCAGGGGCACGAGCGCGGGCGAGGGAGGCGCTGGAAAGGGCGAGGGCGCGGAGCTGGACGGGCTCCGCCGGGACGCCGTCTGCCTGACGGAGCGCTACGGCCCACCCTGCGCGCGGAAGGACCTGCCGCACGACGTCGTGCAGCTCCGCCACATGGTCGAGCGGCCGACCCACCTCCTCGCGGAGCGCGGGGGGGGGCGAGCTCACCGGCAGCGGCGGCGGAGGCCCCGGCGCCGAGGCGGCAGGGAGGGGCCGCAGCGGGAGGCGGTGAGGGCCGGGCCGCTTCGCGGCCTGGCCCGCCGCCCCTCCCCCCCTCCCTGCACATGGAGGCGGTCGTCGGCATGGAAGAGGTCGACGACGCGTGAGTGGTCGTCGACGTCGTCCACGTGGTCGGGGGGTCCTGCTCCTCAAGTGGAGTCAGGCCCCCCGTCGCTCGGCCGTGGCCGAGCGTTCTCTGAGACGGCCACTGGCCCCCCTCTGTGGCGCGGTCATCATCAGCGTGGTCCTCCTCCTTCTCCTTCTCCCCCTTGTCATGCTGCTGCTCCTGCTTCCTCGCCTTCTGTTTCTAACCCACCTTCTCCTCAATGCCCGTTCTCCCGATGTCTGTTTCTGCTTGTATAGTTGCGCAGGAATAACTACAAATGCACATGAAAACAAATCACATGAAAACCAATGGCACATTCAGCAACAACCATACCAACAAAACCGGCAGAAGTCTCGGAACACACAATACATATACAAACGAAGCGATAGAGAGAGAAACAATATCCAAACAGCACTCAGGGGTCATTCCTTGTGATATAAATGACTTGGCCGTTCCGTCGGTCTGGCTGCTATCTGGCCGCCGTCGCCGCCCCGTCGCCGCCGTTGGATTGCACCACGCACGACACAACAATTCGCGCCTGCGGTGCTCTATGACTGCTCGCAACATGGGGCACACACCACATAGATTCTCCTTTTTCTAAAGGACTATTCGGGTCTCCCCCCTCCCCCCAGGACTTACCGTTTCCCTTCCCGTATTGCCATTTACATACGATTCTGCCCCATTGTCCGTCCCAACCCCGGCAAGCCAGCATCGCCCCCCCGTCATCCTCTTGCAAAACAACTTATGCTCGCGCACTCGTTTGTCAAGAACCGCCAGTGTTCAAAAAACCTTTACAACAAATGGGACGAAGTGCACACGCGCGCGTCGTCGCGCGCATGCCGATATCTCTCTAAAACCTTAGGGGTCGCGAAGAATTCAAAATTTACTGTCCCGAATACATATAATACCACATAGTTTCGCAACAAATATGTTCAAACAAAGCTTGCGCTCGGGCTCTCGCGAATTCTTAAGAATCCCCTACTTGTTTAATAATACTCATACACTTTTACCAAATGTGCCTGTTGCGCGCATGTCGACATCGTTCGAATGCCCTTGCGCGCGCATTGTCGCAAGAGCCACTTGCAAAGCACACGGGCGAAGTGCGCACGCGCGCGTCGTGGCGCGCGCAAGCGGAAATCGTTTAACAAAATTAGGTTTCGCAAGGACTGGAAAACGGATTGTCCCGATTTTGTTTCTGTGAATATATATACATACATAAAGACACACCTATACATGCATATACATGAATCTCTATATAAACACACACATATATATACACATATATATATATACATATTGATGATTGCACCATGCGTTTTCTATCATGAATGCCTGCGCCCGCGTTCCTGCGAGTTCTCAAGGGGACCATTCTGGTTTTCAGCATTTCCACTAAATTCAGTCAAGCGGGCCTCTCGCGCCGCATGTGGAAACCAGTCGAACGCCCTTGCGCGCGTGCTGGGGGGGGGACACGATCTGTGTCAAATAACACCATGCGGGCCACTCTTGCGCGTCAGCCGCGCGCGCATGTCATCGCCCACGCGAGGACGCCGTCATCGTCGCCAGCGTGGGTAACATCGGCGCTGTCACTGGCCGTGCCGTCGTCGTTGCCATCGTCGCCACCAGCATCGTTGCTACATCGTGTCCACCGTTGTCTACGTTGACAGGATGCCGCTCCCGCACATGTCGCCGACTCGCACTGAAGTGCCCGCTGAGACGGGCCCAACGGTCAACGCCACCACGGCCGTGTCGCTCGCGCCAAACTAGCTGGCCGCTTCGCGCGAGAGCATGCGCGGACTAGCGCGACCGCAGAGATGCACCAGCCAACGCCAAGCACTCATCGCAGGGGCAGCCGCATGAGTTTTGCAAACCAAGTTGCGGGTGGGGTGGATGAGATGGTTGCGCAAGCAGTGGAGTTGACAAGTTCAAATCGGCGGGGCGAATTGCGCAACATAGACTGCACCACATACGCAGCACAACCACATTGATTTTCCTTTCTAAAACGAAAATAGACTCTACCCCCCCCCCCCCCCCGAATATAGGCTCCCGCATTCGCATTGCAATGTCCATGTGATTCTGCCCTATCGTCCATCCGAGCTATGAATTCGCACCATCCCTTTATCAAGAACCAACGAGTTTTCAAACATCCCTTGCTGAAAACGAGACTGAGTGCACACGCCCGCGTCGTCGCGCGCGCATGCCAGAATCATTTTTTGAAAAATATTATATTAATAAAAAACGTCGGTTCCGTTAGGCTGTCAAAACCGAATGCCCGAAAAACATATGAAGACACAAGGTTTCGCAACACGGTATTTCAACATAAACTTGTGCGCTTTTGCTAATTCTTAACAAACCCAGACGTGCTTTCAACGTGTTCACGACACGTTTCCAACGGGCTTCGCGCGCGCATGTCGAAATCGTTCGAATCCCCCTGCGCGCGTGCCGTCGCGAGAACGCTTTTTATAACAAATGAGACGACATGCGCACGCGCGCGTCGTCGCGCGCCTGCCGGATTCCGTCGGAAACCTTCGGTTTCGTAGCGATGTCAAAGTTATTTGAACGTGTATAGTTATATATACATACATACATACATAATCATATAGAATAATGGGAATAATAATAATAACAATAATAATACGAATAAGAAAACTAATATTAATAAGAATAAGAAGAATAATAATAAAAAATATTAAAAAAAAACAATTATAAACACATGGCTTCGGAACAAGGATGTTCAAACAGAGTTTGCGCTCGGAGTCTTGCGACTTCTTGGGGGAGCCATGCGGTTTTCATCATGTTTATGGAATTATGCCATGCGGGCCTCTCGCGCGGCATGCCGACACCATTCGCACGCCCTTGCGCGCGCGCTGGGGGGGAGGGCGCGATCAGTGTCAAAGACTACTATGCGGCCACTTTCGCGCGTCGGCCGCGCCCGCACGTCGAACTCCGTCTAAAAACTTCATCGCCGACGCGAAAACGCCGTCATCGTCGCCGACGTGATCAGCATGGGCGCCCGCAGTGGCCGCGCCTTCGTCGTTGCCAACATCGTCACCAACATCGCTACTATCATCATCGTGTCTACCGTTGGCGACGTTGCCATGATACCGCGCCCGCCAGAGTCGCTGACTCGCAGTGGAGTGCCCGCTGGGATGTGCCCAGCGGTCAGCGCCACCGCGGCCGCGTCGCTCGCGCCGAACTAGTTGGCCGCTGCGCGCGCGTGCTTGGGTTGGCGCGGCCGCAGAAATGCACCAGCCAACGCCAAGCATGCATCGCAATCGCCACCGCATGGGTTTTGCAAACCAAGTTGCGGATGGGTGGGTGGGATGTTTGCCAGAGCGTGGGATGCGTCAACTCGTTTTTAAAGCAAGTGCAGAACATATAGTGAACCACATATACTGCACTACATATAATGCCCAACAAAAACTGCACAACATAGAGTGCACAACCTGTATTGAACAAGATAGGCTGTACAATACATATTGCACTACATCGATTGCAAAGGCTAGGGTGCACCACCTATGATTCCACCACAGAGATGGCACACCATGGTTGCACCGAGTGGAATTTACACTGTGCACAACTTGCGTTGCACCACGCAGAGCGCACAACATATACTGGACCGCACCGGTTGCAGCACCTAGACTGCACCACGCCGACTGCACCTGATAGACCCCGCAACACATGTTGCACCACATCGATTGCACCACATAGGGAGCTCAACATAAATTGCAACACACAGGGTGCACCGCATATACTGCAAAACATAGTTCGCACAACATATATTGAAGTGCATAGATTGCACCACATGGTTTGCACACGATACATTACGTCACGCAAAGTGAACACTAGATATTGCACCGCATAGGTTGCGCCACATCTATTGCACCACATAGGTTGCACAACCTAGATTGTACCACGCAGCTTGGATCTCTTATAGTTAACACCGCAAACCATCACATTGATTGCAGCAGATGTGTTGCACAACCTATACCACAGCACCAGGTGCACAGCATTCGTTGCACCACATAGACTGCACCACGCAGAGTGCACAGCATAGCTAGCACACTATAGATTACACCACATATATTACACAACGCCTGTTGATATCATCACGCGCTCTAGGGTCCACGATGACTGAAACAGATATCTGTATGTCCATGTACAACTGCACTGAAACAGTAACAAACATGAACCACGGTCTGATTCACCGAACAGCGCTTGCACTTAGGAAGTCGCAATTGTCTGCTAAGAGGCTGGGCTCCGTTGTCGGGTCCGCCGCCGTGTGGTCGCCGTCGCCGCCCCGTCGCCGCCTCGTCGCCGCCGCGCCGTCCGGGCTCCGCCGTCGGCTCCGCCGTCTCGCGGTCGCCGTCGCGGTCGCCGTCGCGGTCGCCGTCGCGGTCGCCGTCGCCGCCCCGTCGCCATCGCACTGCTGCACCTCGCCCCCTCCTTCTGTTACAATCGAGCCGTGTTTGCCGATGACAATCGATTGGTTACGGCCCCGTTTGCGGCCCCGTTCCCGCCTGTCGTCGCCGCCCCGCTGCACCCCCCCCGATGTTGCATTGCAATCGCAGCGCACTGCAATCGCATTGCACTGCAATCGTTTTGCACTGCAGCCGCATTGAACTGCATTGCAATCGCGCTGCAATCGCATTGCAATCGCACTCCTTTGGATTTCTTAGCGATGTTTTGCAACGTATTGCCTTGCATTGCGGTACATTGGTGCGCATTGCTTTGCGTTGCGTTGCATTGCACTGTATTCCTTCGCATTGTTTTTGCATTGCCCTGTAGTGCGTTGCATTGCGTTACAATGTGTTGCATCGATTTGCATGTTCGTTGCACTGCGTTGCATTGCTATGCATTGCGTCGCATTGTGTTGCATTGCGTTGCATTGCTTTGGATTGAATTGCATTGCTGCGCATTGCTTGGCATTGCGTTACATTGACTTGAATTGTGTTGCATTGCGTGCAGTGCTTTGCACCACGTGCATTACACCAACTAGATGGCACCCAGTTGATTACACCGCACAGGGTGCACCGCATAGATTGCAAGAGATCATTGTTTGTGGTCCACCCAGGCTAAAAGTTAAAATGCACAGCGCTAGACAGAGGGAGAGAGAACACAAACAAAGAGAAGAGAACAAACCTGCCCCAAGAACGATCCCTCCCTTGTGAGCCCCCCTTGCCTTCAAAGCCAGAAGCTTGCTCCGTTATCAGCCCCCGTCCGCCGATGAATCCTCGGCGAGGTGGTCCTCACACCCCCCTTCCTTGGCGCGGCGATCCTCCACACTCTGCCAGCTCCACCCGATGCCCCCTTCCCGGCCCCCCTCCCTCCTCACAGGCCACCGTCTCTCTTCCACGTCTTGTTCGTCGCCCATGTCCTCCCCGATTAACTACTTCGTGATTTCAACGAGCCCTCTTCCGACTTCCCCTCCGCACCCTGCTCCTTCCCCTCCTCTCTCCTCCCTTCCCCCTGATGATATGTCAACGCCCGAAACGTCAGCCCCATGACCTGCAGATCCAGTCGTCGGAGTCCTTCGGCTTCATGTAGATCTAGCCGGGCGCAACCAAAGCATACTGTGCGACCGCGCATTCTCGCGCGAACACGCACGCACCCTGTGACTTGTGCAGAAACCGTCGGACTCGCTTGCCGAAGCAAAGCTACCTGGCCGAACCTGGAAACCCTGAATCCAAACATGTTCGATGGGGGGAAGTGAAAGGGACGGGCCTTCTCAGAAGGCTCGGAAGTCCCCCAGCCTTCGGAGGAGTTCCCCAAGCCTTCGTCGAAGACACAATAAACTTCTCAGAAGACTGCTGGAGGGCTTCTGAGAAGCCCACCGCCTTCTGAAAAAGCTTCCTCCTCCTCACTCTTCCCCCCCCCCGGCATGCCGCCGAATCTGGTTTGGGGGTCATAGTTCGGGTCTCCAGCGGCCGTTCGGAACGATCCCGGCACTCTCGGAACGCCCTCGGCGAAGCGCAGCTGCTAGCAAGCATCCCGAGGCTGGAAACTGCCGAGAACCAGCGAAAACGTTCGAAAACCTCGAGCCCCGAACCTCGAGCCAGAAACCTCCCCCCGTCGCTCGCCTCCGACCTGCCCCCGTTGCTCCCGCCACCGTCCGCCGATCTTCCCCCTGCTTCCGCTGGCGGATTCGCCGCCGATTTACGTCCGCCAGCTTGCACCGGCCTTCCAATTGGGCGCCCGAAGTGGGTACGGACAAAAACCGGTACAATGCCCAAGAACAAATATTGTCCCAAACCGACAGCGGCCGCCGTTGGGCAGGCGGCCTTCTGTCTCAAATGGACAACGTCCGTGGCGGCGCGGACAGCGAGTCCTGGTCAAAATGGACTAGAGCTGCTGCTGGGCATCGTACGCATTCTTTCCGTACCCATGTCAATCGTGCCAATGCCAGGCCAGCTCCTCCAGGCTGGTTCCTCCAGGCCAGCCTCCTCGTCCTACTCCTTCTTCTCCTCCTCCCCCCCCTCCGACCTCCTCCGACCTCATCCTGCTCGTCCTCCTCTTGACCCTCCTCCTACCCTCAACCTCATCCCTCCTGCCTCTTCCTCCTCCTCCTCCTCCTCCTTCTCCTCCTCCTCCTCGTCCTCGTCCCCTTCCTCCTCGATCACTGATCGGCAACTACGCTGCTATGATTTCCGCGCTCGCATATCCGCTATCGAAGGCAAACGGGTCGTGACGCAGCTGCACGTTTCCGAATGAGCGTTGGAAACTACCTGGAAGACGTTCGTCGGCGCCGTGCTCCTTTATGATGCGTACGGGCATGCAAAGCATGCTGCGAGCTGTGCTTGACAATGGTATGCTATGAGGTGCCAATGCGCTGCCATATTGGAGGCGAGAAGAGCGGGGTGGGGGTGAGGAAGTGAGGACTCTGCATCCACTGCCACGGATGGCGGCATCCGAACACATGGGTAAGACTTTCCTGGCAGGCTGTCCCAACTGCGCATTCGACGTCAAGGGCTCGTCCTGGCAAGCCCGATCAGGAATCGGAAATCAAACTACCGGGCCCTCATCGACAATGCCTGAACGAAGTGAAGACCATCCTGAGTGCCTTCGCTTAGCTGTTCCTCTTCCCGGCACTCAAAAGCGTATGAAGCACTCGCCGGTCGGCGTGTGAGGTCCCTGCCCCGCCCCAAGCCCGCCCCCAGGGAGCTCGTGCCTGCTAAGTTGGGTGGGGGAGTCGGACGGTGCTGGAAGGGCCTGGGCATCCGAAGATGCGCGAATGGCTCCAGGATGGCCCCAAATCTTCCAAAACGGCCTCCAAGATCGCGCAGCAGGCTCTGCCTGCACACACCAACAAGCCAGCCATCTGGCATCTCGGATGCGGCCAAGGGATCTGAGCTGGCTGGACCCCGAGAGAAACGGTCCAGAGGGAGGGGATGACTCTGTCCCCGGACCCCTTCCTGGAGTCCACGCGTTGCAGCTTCCGCGCCGCCCTGGATCCGCGGTCCACGGCCCCGCGGGGCCCGAGCACGGCCCCGTGCGACGGAACAGAAAAGCGAAAACGCCTCGCCGAAATCCAGCACCTCGAGCCTGCACCCCCCCCTCCCTGCTGTCCGGAGCAGGCGCTGGGCCACCGCAAAGCCCCCAGCCGACTCCCACTCTGATTGACCCCCGAGAACGGCCCCGTGCGACGGAACAAAAAAGCGAAACGCCTCGTCGAAATCCAGCACCTCGAGCCTGCACCCCCCCCCTCCCTGCTGTCCGCACTGAAAAAAGCGAAAACGCCTCGCCGAAATCCAGCACCTCGAGCCTGCACCCCCCCCCCTCCCTGCTGTCCGCACTGAAAAAAACGAAAACGCCTCGCCGAAATCCAGCACCTCGAGCCTGCACCCCCCCCTTTCCTGCTGTCCGCAGCAGGCGCTGGGCGACCGCAGAGCCCCCCGGGCCGACTCCCACTCTGATTGACCCCCGAGAACGGCCCCGCACTGAAAAAAAACGAAACGCCTCGTCGAATCCAGCAACTCGAACCTGCACCCCCCCTTCCTGCTGTCCGGCCGACTCCACCTCGGATCGGCCCCCGCCCTCGCCGCGCCGCCCCCGCCCCCCTGCCCCCCGGGGCCAGGGACGGACCGCCCCTGCAATTCCTGTAGGCCTGCCACAGCAGGCTCTTCGAACCCACAGCTATCTCAAGAAAAAGCAATGTCCTTAGAGCATGAGCCCGACGTGTGAAAATAGGACAATATCAGCCACACATGGTCTGAAAACATGTCGCTCCGACGACAGCAGGTTCTTAGAACTCTTCTCTGGTGGACCCACAAGCGAGCCAGGACGCCCTGCCACCGCTTGATGTCCGCGCCGCCCCGCCCCTCTCGGGTCGGGCGAAAGGGGGGGATAGCAAAGGGGGGGTTTGAGAATCAGCTCACGTAGCTGATTCTCCCGGCGCCTCCCGGCGCCGGAGGCGGCTATGTATCGAGGAATGGGCCCCTCGGTGAGGCCGAAACCAGCTGCATGCAGCAAATTTCGTACCCCCCCCTTTCCCAATCCCATCCTTTCGCCCGCCCCGCTCCTCCCCCTGCGCCCACGAGCCCGCCTTGATGCGGCCGGCCCCTTTCTGCCCCTTGACGGCGCCGCTGGTGACCAGCAGCCCCACGGCGTCGCCCTGGCGCCGCGACAACAGCAGAGGCGAGAGGCCCAGGGCTTTGTGGGCCCCGGAAACGGCAGGGCCGTTTTTTCACCGTTTCCAAAAAAATGTCCCTTGAAAATGGAAACGGCAAAAAAACGGCGACCGGAAACGCCAAAAAAACGGCTCCAAGATTGGAACCGGAGCCGGAACCGGTCAAACAACGGCGACGAAACCCGTAAAAAACACGGCGTCGGAACCGGCAAAAAAACGGCAAAACGGAACCGGTAACAAAAACGGCCCTGTCGTTTCCAGGGCCCACTAAGGCCCAGGGAGACACATAGATCTACACAAACCGAATGCTGTCCCAGATCTGTCCGTCTTTCTAAAACTGCATTCCTCTTCCCTTCTATCTCCCATGCTTCCCCATGCCTTCCACAGGAGGCAGCGTTTATTTATGTGTGTGCCTAGTTGTTACTTCTCCTGGGCAAAGGCGAGAGGCAAGATGAGCGCAGGAAGATGAAGGGGAACTGGGACACGCAAATAAATACACACAAATAAAAGGATTCCCCATATTTCCAAATATTTTCTAGGTTTTTGTCTCCCCCCCCACTTCCCATGTTTCCCATATTTTCCTGGGAATCGACGATTAATTGTGTCTGTGTGTTTCTTTCCCTCCTGAGAAGATCGCGTGCATCGGCCATGCCGACCCCCGCCACACATTCCTGCGCACCTGGGGGAGGGGAAAAACGCATGGCACAAAAGACAACCTTTTCCGGAGGTCCGCGCGGATGGCTTGGGATGCGCGCGAGGGGCCCCCCTCCCCTTGACGAACGATCAAGACGCACCCACACCCATAGGGGGACGCAATGAGCCGTGGGTGCGCGTTGTCGGATGGGGGCCCCCGCTCGATCGGGAGCCCCCCCAGGGGGAGGGAGGAGGGAGGCGGGAGGAGGGAGGAGGGAGGAGGGAGGAGGGAGGAGGAGGAGGAGGAGGAGGAGGAGGAGGAGGAGGAGGCGGAGGAGGAGGAGGAGGACCCATAGCCAGTCCTTCTTCCTCCGACCTCCCTATGGGTATGGGTGTGTGTGTGTGTGTGTGTGTGTCGTTCGTTCGTCATCCCTGGCGCGCGGAGCGCGCCAAGGGCGCCGCCATAGGGCGACGCAATCTATACATATCCACTGCTCCCTGGCCAGGCCCATCCTGAACACAGCAGCTGTGTATACGCCACGCCCTCCTGGTTTGGCCAGGAGGGCGTATACACAGCTCCTGGGTTCAGGATGGGCCTGGCCAGGGAGCAGTGGATAAGTATAGACTTCGTCCCCCGACGCCAGGGGTGCCCCAGCGCCGATCCAAGAAATCTGCGAGGACCTCCAGGAAGTCGTGCTTCTGCCGTTTCTGGTCTTCGAGCACCCGGCGCGCAGATGCGAGGCGGGGACATATCCACATCCGCCGCCCGGGAAACCGACGCCCTGGGACCCCAGCGGCCGGTGGGTCTGGATATGCCCGAAAGTTTCCGTACCTAGCGCGTGCCGAGGTCTCCGAAGACAGATGACCCAAATCCCCGCCTCCGAATAATTACATGCTGACAATGGCTGGTAGCGCTCCGTGAAACGGCGGGTGGACCGGGGGCAGTGGCCGATCCGGGAAAGCCTGAACCCCAACCGTGCACGTCTCAGATGCGAAAGAAAAATGCACACGTCCGAGCGATGCCAAGGTCTTATGCGAGAAGACAGAGAGTGAGAGAGAGAGGCCCTGCGCCGAGGCCTGCGCAAGCCGCCCGCGCGGCGAAAAGGCTGTGCCTGCGCGACCTGGCGCGGGAAACTTACGAGCGGATGTCCGCGCAATCGACCTCGCTGTGTCTCGTCCTCACCCACGCTTCCGCCGTCTCCCGCTGACCTACCGCTGGCTTCCGCGGTGGACCCGCCGATGAGTCTTACCTCCGTCCGCTCCCGACGCTTCTCTTCCTGCGCCTCAGGGGCAAATCTGACCGCTGGCAAAATCAAACTGCCAGCGTGAGAAACGCTAAATATAAAAACCAAGCCCCTTGTTCGCCAAATGCGCATGAGTGCACGATTCGGTGGCAACTCATGAAAGCCTCCCATACCATCTTGTCGGTTCCTGCGAATCGACGCTAAATCGACGCTCGATCCATGCTAATCGGCGCTAGCCGACGCTATCCCATCGACTCCCAGACAGAATTGCGAGGGTAACAGGGCTCCCATGATTGGCTACCGAAGCACGAGGAACGCTAGAGGAAGAATCGCGGCAGGACCCGAGGTCCCCTGCACCCTGCACAAATTCCAGTTCCCAATTTCCGATGTACTACCACGCTTCAATCTTATGCCACCATTGTCTGCTTCTTACTGTAAGCTGTTGCTGTCCGCTCGGGGGGGGCAACCCCAAACGACCCTGCTACCACAGCTTCCCGCGATTCTCAGAATTCCCCTGGGGACGCTGGGTTACACAAACATTAATCTGATTCACGCTTCCAGAGCCAAGCTCCCCCGTAACATACACCAGAGTGGCGCTCCCTGAGCCAGAACCCCTTGTAAATTACAGCACGCTCGCGCTGGCAATGCCAGACTTCCTCAGGAATTCTACCAGATTCGCGCTCCCGAGAATGGACCCCCTGGCAAATTCACGGGGCACAAAGGTTTACACGACCACCGCCTCCCTCATCCCCTCCCTCTCCCAGGAAAAGGAAGACGACGACGAGGGTGGAGGAGGGAGGAGGAATCGACGTGGTGGTGGTGGTGGTACATTCTTGGGGCCCGAAAAGAATGACCCGATACTCGCGCTCCCAGAACCAGAGCCCCGTTCAAATGACACCAGGCTCGTGCTCTCGAGGCCAGAGTGCTCCCGCAAGGTACGCCAGACTCGCGTTCCTGAACCCAGAACGCTGCAGAGGTCGTGCCACATGCGCGCTCTCGAATCGGGGGGGGGCACACAGGCCGGGCAGGGGCAGAGAGGCGGGGCTGCAGGGAGCGTCGCCCTGCACGGCCCCCGGAAGAAGGCAGCGCGCGACACGGGAGCAGCTGGCCGGCCCCGCTCTCCAGCTCCGCCTTGGGATAGCCCTCCCTCTGCGAACCCCCCACTCTTGGAGGCCTGGAATTGAGCACCAACACCAACACAGGGGTGTTGCCTCCACAGGGGGAAGAGGATCCTGAATTTCGGTGTCGGTGGTAATAGTTCGGTCGCCTTGGAAACCGTAATATTACCACCATCACCGAGATCGGGATCCTCTCTTCCCTCGGTGGAGGCACACCGCCGAAATCGGTGTTGGTGTCAACCTCTAGGCCTGCGACACTCTGGCTCCCGCCCCCGCTGGAGCTCCTCCTGCTGGAGCTCCGCCACAAAGCCCGCCCGCCCTCCCTCCCGACCCGTGCTCTCCCGGAAAGGGACCCCGCGCGACACGAGTCGGTCGACACCGCTCTCGCCATCGCTCGGACGTCCATTTCCCATGCATTTTTCGGTTTCGTGCGTGTTTTTTGTTTGCTCGACAGTCCAGGATCGTCCTCAATGGTTCTCGTCGAGAAAAAATGCACACGTCCGAGCGATGCCAGGCGCTTGGGATGACCCTCCATCCACGAGCCCCCGATCGGAAGCCAGCACCTTTCGTGAATTACGCCAGCTTCGTGGTCCCAGGGCTGGAGCCTGCATCAGTCACGCAAGCGTCGCGCTCCCGAAGCCAGGAATGCCTTTTCGGTGAGGAGGAGGAGGAGGAGGAAGAGGAGGAGGAAGAGGAGGAGGGGGAGGAGAAGGGGAGAGGAGGAGGAGGAGGAGGAGGAGGAGGAGGAGGAGGAGGAGGAGGTGGAAGAGGATGAGGCGAAGGAGGCTTCGCGCTCCGGGGGCTGGATTCCCCTGGTAAAGAAATGCCAGGGTGGCGCTCCCGAGCCCTGACTGCTTCGTGGAGGACACCAGGTTCGCGCTCCCGAAACCAGAAGCCCCTGCAAACTACACCACACCCGTGCTCCTGGGCCAGCATACAATGTTCACCAAACGCGCGCCCCCGAATAACATCCCACAAATAAGTATACAAGATTCGCGCTCCCGGGGCAAGAACTCCCAGGTAAGATGTCCAGATTCGCGTTCCCGATACCACACTTCATCTCAAACATTTACCAGATTCGCACTCCCGAAGCCAGAACCCCTTGTAAGTTACACACAATCGCGCTCCGAAAACCAAATCGTTCGTGAATTAGATAAGACTCGCGCTCCTAAGCTGAGAATATTTTGTGTATGGACAGGCGCGTTCCACTACTCGCAAATCGAATGGTCGCAAATTGCCTGGATCCGCCGCGGAGGATCTACGATACATTACACAGATAAAGACTTGTATAGTTCGGACGTTTGCGAGTGGGCACTTTGCGAGTAGTGGAATGCGCTCGGCGAATGTAAGTTATACCATACAAGATTCGCGCTCCATCCCTTCTTCGCCGACCCCCGCTTGCCGGGGGCGGAACGGCGCGTGAGACATTTGACGGTCCCCCTCCCCCCTTTCCCCTCCCCCTGGGGTCCGGAATCACATTCTTCGGGATGAGGGGGGAGGGGGGGGGACGAGCTCGCCAACTCCGGAGCCCCCAGAAAGCCCCCCGTGACGACAGCCCAACAGGGCTCAGACAGAGCGCCAAGACAGTCGAAGAGAGTGTCACCACGGCCCAGGTGGCCCCACAACGATCCAAGATGGCTTGACGACGGCCCACGAGTCCCCCAAGACAGCCCAAAAGCGCCTCCAGCGGATCGTCGAGAGGGTCCCAAGAGGCCAAAATCAGCACATTCCCTTAGGGAAGGAAACATTTTCAGCACAGTCGCAGTTCACGATTTGACAGCGAACGCGACGGCCCAAGTGGCCCCCAACATCGTCCCATGACGGCCCTTGATGCCTCCAAGAAGGCCCCATGACGGCCCAAGAGGGCCCAAGGACAGCCCCAGGGGCCCCCCAAGACGGCCCAAGAGAGCCCGTGGAGGGCGCCAAGAGGGCCCCAACAAAGCCCAAGAGGGGGAATACGAAATGAAATTTCGAGCCTTTCCCACTCAGA